TGCTGAAAGAGTTGCTTTCTGACTGCAGTGAAGTTCTTAGATGTGAGATCCACATGTTATATTTCTGTATCTCTAACTATAATTGCACTGGGCTTATACTATATCTCTATAGACACTCATGATGGACAAAGTCACAGGCAGGGAAGTCTGCAGCGCCCCCCACTGTCCCCACCCACACAAGAGCAGCTGCTGACATCGGGCTTAAGAGGTGAGGACATTCTCACCACTTGCACAGTGACTTTCCATAGAGAAGGTGGATACACACACCAGCTTCTATAGTGTCACCTGCTACCACGGATTTTCTTTACTGTCTTCATTTCCATCTGATGAAGAGAAGGCTGAGCATTTGTCCTTACTTTGTGTTTCTCACAAATGAATAAGCACAGCATGGGAAGAATATTTTTTTTCACGTCTCTGTTTGGAGCAAAGCACCTGCAGTATTTGTCATTTGTAGTCTATACAGATGGTGTGTAAGGATGCTCTACAGTTACACAAAAGTTCTACTTTCCAAGTAAGCAAGGATTGCATCAACAGTGATCTTGTCTCTGTCCCTTGCTATCCTTGCACTCTGACAGTTTACCTAAACACACTGCTCTCCTACATCAGGGACTGAAAGAGACGTGTTCCATAGCCAGCTGTGAACTAAATGAAGTTAGACATTTTAACTGAGACAAGGCTGACCACAAAGTACAATGGTGTCACGTAAGAGTTTTCCCAGTTAAGATGGCAGGAGCCAGTGCTCCCTGCAGGTGGTGGGGACCCTTGGTGTGGCCACAGGTCTCAAGATGGTTTGTGACTGGACTGTAACCCAGGAACTGGAGACATTTTTGGGTCTTCTGAGGCTCCTTTGTGCCACAGTTCAGGCTGCAGACAGCTGGTGGCTGTCAGGCAGCAGAGAACAGGACCTCTAGATGGACTCTTCCTGGGAAGCTTTGCTAATTGGCACAGCTAAACAATATTTCTTTTATTGTGTGTGTGGTGGCATTGGGGTGTGAACTCAGGGCTTCACACTTGCTAGGCAGGCACTCTTACGGCTTGAGCCACTCCACCAGCACTCTTTTCTGTGATGGCTTTGTTCAAGATAGGTTCTTATGAAACATTTGCCCAGCACTGACTTTGAACTGTGATCCTCATAATCTCTGCCTCCTGAGTAGTTTGGATTGCAGGCATGAGCCACCGGTGCCTGAATGACATCACCTCACTGTGGTGGCTGGGACTCGGCTCCAAATTCTTTGGACTCAGCTCCAAATTCTATATAGAGAAGGCAAGGGGGTCTGTGTCTTCCAATGGCATCAAGACAATAAGTGCCTGTAAAGTCTAGGTAGCACTGCCATCCAGGCCTACAAAGAAGTCCAGAAGCCTCTCCCATGGAACTGACCAGAGTCCAGGCCACCTCAATGGATTGAGATCCTGCACTCTGCAAACCACCCAAGATGGAAGTCCAGTGATAGAAGGGAAAACCCCACGGACCCATAATCTCAAGCCCGGTGACTTGAATATGCTCACACTCATGGCTCCCAGAGGGTTCTCTTCTAGACACTCCTCTTTTACCTCCTTGATCTTCATCTGGCAACGCTCTTTGGTACTACTTGAGGCACTGATTGGGAGGGATGTTTCTTTTATATGCCACAAGGCAAACAGTCATCTTGCATAACCTCTCTTGTACTAGTTTAACTTCAATGTGGTTGAGAACTTGCTAAGGACACTAAGTCCACTGATTTGCTATTGTCAAATACATGGTGAACTATTTTGGAGGGTGCTAGGTTTCCAACCAAGGGCCTGCATGGTAGGCAAGTGCCGTCCCACTGAGCTACATCCCAAGCCCCTGGTGGCTGCATGTTTTTAAAGTAAAGATGACGGTAAAAATAGTTGGATTACAGACTTGAGCATGATGTGAAATTAGCATCACCTTCTTGTGGTTTTTTTGTTCAAGTCAGGGCCTGAAAGTGCAGGGGTGCAGCAAGGTGCCAGAATTCAAAAGTTTTCTAGGAAGAATTTTCCACCAAAATGACCCTCAGACTTTTATGCAGCACTTATCTTATGAGGAAAGGAACAAAGACAACCCCTGTTTTCCTCCTCCCAGTGAACATGTTCAGTGTCTTGAACACAGTCCCAATACTTCATATTTTGCTTTGGATGGCATTTTGTTCATGGAAGAGCTGACCTCATGAAAAACCCCTGCAGTAGGGCTGGGGGAATGGCTCAAGTGGTAGAGCACTTGTCTAGCAACCACACGATCTTCAGATCGAACCCCAGTAATAACCCCACCTTCTCCCCCAGAAAAGACTGAAGTCTACGGGAAGAAAAATTAATTTGTGCTTTCTAGCTTTGTTTTCATCTTCACAGTCCTGGAGATGGAACCCAGGGCCTTTCAAATGCTAGATAAGAGCACTGCTACTAAGGTATATCCCTAGCCCATTATCTCATTTTGAGAATAAAAATCATTACTACTTCCTCAGAACAAAAGACAAAAAATAATCAAAAATCAAAACAAGATGGTAAAAAAGGGGTGTGTGCACTAGAAAATGTCTTTGAATTTGTATGTTTGGTCTTTTACTAGGCTACCCATGTGTGCTATGAAGCTATGAAATTTCTCATGGTGCTGGGCACACATGGCCTGGGGCTTAGTTCAGCTGTGGCATGAGAGTGGACAAGCAATCCACACAGGGCACTGTGTCCAATGACTCCCCCACGAGACAGTCAAACCTCACTGTAAAACACACTTTGTGTGAGATAAGTTTGCCAACCACAGGTAATGGGAGTGGTATCTCAGTTTTGCTGTTCATTGGATTAGGTGTACAAAGTACATTTTCATCTTACCCTGGGTTTAGGGAAATGTAACCTTATCCTAGGTTGAAGAACATCTATATTTATAGAGAAAATGATCCAATACAGTCTAGGAAACAGTTCCATGCTCGCATACTAAGTTAGAAAGGCAAAAACAGGTGCAAACACTGCAGTTGGCCTCACACAGCAAGGTTAAGTCTTACGAAGAAGTGTGTCCTTGGTGACGAGGATGGACAAAGACAAAAACAAAGATGTCCTGTTCACAAGTCTTAAAATTTACAAAACTCATTCTGATAAAAACAAATGAACAGAGTTCCCCTCGTTAATGTGACTGCCTCTTCATTATATCTGCCTTCCAGGTAAAAACTGTTATGATTAGCATCCCTCCAGTGCCTCTAATTGTCAGTAGCGATCAATTCCCTTAAAGCAAACACTAGGTCTGGCCCTGAGGCTCAGGCTTAGCTCTCATGTCCTCCGTGAGTGGGCTTGGAGACCTGATTGGGGGTGACGGAATGAGAAAAGACAAAGACACAAATAGAGAAAAAGCTGGAGCTGGATGGACTACATGCACGTGAGTCCTGAACTATTCCAGCACATTTATTTTATGTGTAAGTACAAGGATGCGAAAGCAGCCAAATCTTCAAGGTATGTCAGCAGTAAAGGTTATCTTCAGGTCAGAGGAGCGAGGGATGTCAGGAGGTCTCATGAGGAAGTCACAAGTTATCTTCTTGCACCAGGGAACAAGTATGAGGATGTGGTTAGCTATTTTCTAGGGCTGAAGGTCAGTATAGAGCTCTGAAACTTTTGCAAGAGAGCTGTGCAAACTTGATTTTCCCAGTGAGGGGCCAAGGACCATGTGAACTAGGGCCCTCTGCTTGAATTTTAGGCTCCAACACCTAGCCAATGAATTACATTACTCTTGTAGCATATGCAAGGTCCGGGTTCAATCCCCAGTGCAACAAAAACCAATAGCAACAAACCACTAATCCTGTAAGAAAGTCTACTCAGAATGCTCTCACTGATAAAGCAGTCATTTATGGTCTGTGGACAAAGTTTCTGCTACAATTCACATACTCTATTTGAAAAAAAGACATAGTCCTAGTGGTTTTGAGGAGGAGGCCCATCAAAATAGCATGATTTAACTGTTGGTCTGCCATATGAAAGACAGAAAGGAAGAAAACACCTAAAGTTTTATTCATTATAAAGCTGAATCCCAGTGTTAAATGAAAAACTTGGCAAAATTATAAATGACCTCATCTATAATGCCATGGGATATTTGCACATATCTCAGTAAATGGAAAAGATAACATTTGTTGGTCTGGAAGCTGTATAAAAGTGAAACTATTTCTAAGAAATAGATAAAAACCACACTTAAAGAAAAAATATATCAAGAAGTAAAATATGAGGAAAATCACACTTCAAAGACAGCCTGGGCAAGAGACTTTGAAAGCCCTGTCTGGAAAATACCCAACACAAAGCAGGGCTGGTGGAGTGGATTAAGTGCTGGAGTGCCTGTGTAGCAAGCATGAGGCCCTGAGTTCAAACCCCAGTAACTCTCCACCCAAAGTCAAATATAAAATGCATTTGTTTTTTCAGTGCCAGGGTTCAAATACAGGACCCTATGCATTTTAGGCAAGAGCTTGACTACTGACCTAAACCATCATCCCCCAAAATGTCATTTGGTCCATGAAAAAGAAAGATGGAACATCAATAAAACGTAATAAATATTTAGAACCTGTCACCCAAGGCCAGTAAGATAAAGAAAATTTTATTACCTGGTGGGAGTAAAACAAACAGCACCTATAAACCTACACTCTGCTGCCTAAATGATACCTATAGAATTATGTCATCACATTTCAAGAGTGTGAATGAAATTCTTAGAATATTTCCTTCAGGTCAGTTATTTTCTGGAGCATTATGCACAAATCACACAAATTGCTTTGTCTCCTCAAATTATTTTGGCTCATAGGACTTCACTATAAGAGGGATAGTCATGGAACAAATTATTTACTAAAACTGAAACTGTTTTTCCCTCCTGTCAGGGTGTTACAATGTGGCCATTGTAGGATGAGGCCAGGTAGGAGGGTCTCAAATTTGAAATCCTCCTGCCTGAGACTCCCCAGTTCTGGGATTACAGGCACTACTACCATACACAACAAAAGTGACAACTTGGAGTATTTTTCACATTCACATTATTCTGATATAGTGTGCATTCTTCTTCCAAGGAGGCCAAGTGAAAACTTACACATCTATTGAGAGGTGTCTTTTCACACTCTGTGCTTTTATATCTGTGAATTGAACTTAGATGACCTGAGGTATTCCTAAGTGCTTTTTACTGTGAATATTACAGTGCTAAGAAGGTCACATAATAATGAAGCCTTCTTGCATTCTATACTTAAGAGTTTCTCTCCAGTGTGACTCTTTGCATGTGTGAAAGGAACCGGCATTATCAAGGACTTTCCCAAATTTGCATCCACAGCGTTTCTCTCCACTGAGAATCCCTTATTGTATCAAAGAGAACAGGAGTCAACAAAGGCTTCCGACATTGCTTACACAGGCAGGATTTATCTCGTGTGAGTTGTTTCATGGACTCAAAAGTAATTGCGACACCTGACAGTTTCCTGACATTCATCGCATTAACAGGGTTTCTTTTCAGTGTGAGTCTTTTCATGTTTGTGAATGCTGCTGTAACGACTGAAGGCTTTCCCACATTGCTTACACACATAGGGTTTTTCTCCTGTGTGAACTACTTCATGTCTTCGAAGGGAACTGGACCATGTGAAGGCTTTCCCACACTGCTTACATACATAAGGCTTCTCTCCTTTGTGAGTTCTCTCATGTATGTGAAGGGAACTGGAGCGAGCAAAGGCTTTCCCACACTGCTGACACACATAAGGCTTCTCTCCAGTGTGAATTCTTTTATGTATCTGAAGGGAATTGGATTGAGTGAAGGCTTTCCCACATTGCTTACATAAATAGGGATTTTCTCCAGTGTGAGTTCTTTTATGTATTTGAAGGTGACTTGAACGAGTGAAGGCTTTCCCGCATTGCTTACATGTGTAGGGTTTTTCTCCAGTATGAATTCTTTTATGTATACGAAGGTAACTAGACTGAGTGAAGGCTTTACCACACTGCTTACATGAATATGGTTTCTCTCCTGTGTGACTTCTTCTATGTATTTGGAGGTGACTGGAATCAGGAAAGGCTTTCCCACACTGAGTGCATACATAGGGTTTTTCTCCAGTGTGACTTCTTGTATGTATTTGAAGATCACTGGATTGAGTGAAGGCTTTCCCACATTTCTTACATAAATAGGGCTTTTCTCCAGTGTGAGTTCTTTTATGTATTTGAAGGTGACTTGAACAAGTGAAGGCTTTCCCGCACTGCTTACATGTGTAGGGTTTTTCTCCAGTATGAATTCTTTTATGTATATGAAGGTTACTAGACTGAGTGAAGGCTTTGCCACACTGCTTACATGAATATGGTTTCTCTCCTGTGTGACTTCTTCTATGTACTTGAAGGTGACTGGAATCAGGAAAGGCTTTCCCACACAAATTACATACATGGGGTTTTTCTCCAGTGTGACTTCTTGTATGTACTTGAAGATCACTGGATTGAGTGAAGGCTTTCCCACACAGCTTACATAAATATGGTTTCTCTCCTGTGTGACTTCTTTCATGTGTTCGAAGGGAAGTATAAGAAGTGAAGGCTTTCCCACATAGCTTACACACATAGGGTTTCTCTCCAGTGTGACTTCTTTCATGGACCTGAACATTACTGTGTCTTTTGAAGGTTTTCCCGCATTGTTTACATTCATGGTGTTTATCGCTAGTGTGAATCCTTTTATGATTTTGAAGAGAGCTGAGATATCTGAAAGCTTTATCACATTGCTTACATTCATAGGGTTTCTCTTCAGTGCGAGTCCTTTCATACTTATCAAGGCACTGGGGAGAACGGAAAGTTTCCCCACGTTCTTTACATATATGTGGCTTCTCTCCATATCCTGGGTACTCATATGGTTTGTGTATATTGTGATCCCTGCAGGGCACATTTCCAGGAGAGTGACCATCGAGGACTTCTCCACACACATGCCTTTCACATGGTACTGCTCCAGGAGTTCCCTTGTTCACAATCTCATGAGTCTGGCTGAAGGCTTCTCCCCATTGATAGTCTTCTTCATGTTCACAGAGCCTATCTACTGCTTGATTTCTGTAACAAAAGTGCAGTACATTACAAAGAGTTTGTTTCTCAATGATTTCAGTTATTCATCAGTAGCACAGTTACTTTTTTTGGTTGTCAGAAAAACTATAGGATTTATATTCTATAGAGACTCCCTGAATGTGAATAGATTGAATATTCAACAGGAGGGCACAACAGCCAAGGTCATCAAAGGAGTGATATTCACATGGGGTTCCTTAACACTGTCTCCACATTCACTTATTATGCAAACACTGAACATCTGTGGTACATTTAGGTTTAGCTCAAGGAACCATCATCTAAAATTCATGGGATGAGAAGTGTTTTGGACTCTGGATTCTGAAATACTACCAAATATATATTAATACCTCAGAGATGAGACTCAAGTGTAAACATAAAATTCATTTGTGTTTTGTATATGACTTATACCTAAACCCTAAAGGTAATGTCATACATTTTCAATTATTTTGGGTATGAAACAAAAGTGTGTGCAATAAACCATCATAAAGTGTCATTTGTGCCATCATTTTGTGTTTAAGAAGTCTAGGATCTTTGAATTTTTGGGCTATAGATCTAGGATCTTTAAATTTTGGGGCTAGAGATTTTCACGCTATATAAAGATTTAGAGGATCGATCTATCTACTTACCTATCTATGCATCTATCTATATACAGAATATATAGAGAGAGATATACATGCAAACATAACAGAGAGAGAGAGAATATATATACATTTTGAGACAGGGTCCTTTATGTAGACAGCCCTCAAACTCACTAGGTAGCCCAGGCTAACCTTGAACTTGTGATCCTCCAGCCTCAGCCTCCCAAGTGCTAGGATTACAGGTGTGAGCCACTCATATTTGTTTTGTTTGAAATACTTCCTGCCATTTCAAATTTCCAGAGGAATAGCTTCCTCTTGTGAGTGCAATCTACCTTAGATATCTTCCAAGATTTTGGTCCTCCTTTTCAAAGTTCTGGTCTCTCCATTTTTGTCCTAAAATGTAGATCCAGAAAAACCATTATGAATGATTACAAAGTTATATAAAAATTGAGTTTAGGTTGAAGTTCCCTTGCAACCATGCCTAGTTTATTCACAAAAGCATTCCTTCTCATATTCGAAACCTCTGATCAACATTGGTGAGTACAGAACACCTCCTCCTTGACTCAGTGAAGGCATGATGTCACCCTTACCTACAGCATGCAGGTTCCTGATGGTTTCCCGCATCACAGATCTATACAGATTCTCCTGGGAAGGATTCAGCAAACTCCACTCCTCCAGGGTGAAGTTCACAGCCACGTCCTCAAAGGTCACCGACTCCTACAAAATTCACATGTGTTCAGGAGAGAGGGTAAGATGGACAGCACCTGGGGTTTAGACTCAATTCACAAGTTCATATGATGTTGAGAAACTGGGAGGATAGTGGTTCAAAGTCAGCCCAGGCAAAAAGTATGTGAGACCCTATCTCAAAAGAATCCATCACAAAAAAGGGCAGGTGGAGTGGCGCAAGGTGTAGGCCCTGACTTCAAGCACCAGTACCGAAAAAATACATATATATATCGGGGGAAAGTCAAAGGAATAAGGAGAAAGAGCCACATATGCTTCAAATTAACTCCATGCCACCAAGATGTTTCCTCTTACATGTATCTATGAAATTCCTTAAAGTTCCCCAACTAACTTTTTAGTAGTTACAAAATGTAATGGGAATAACAAATTAGGAACAATACTTCCTTTGTTCTAAATGGGAAGATAACAGGTACTTGGCCAACATAAAGAATTACAAAACCCAAACATTTGGGACATTGTACTACGATTGGAGAGTTAATAATACTGAAATCAAGGAAAATGGTCTATAGGGTCAAGCTGTACATGGAGAGTAGATTCCTGATAGAACCGGTACTGCAGAATACTGGCACAAATCAGCGTCTAACACACAGGGCAGAGACAAACAGGTATCTACCTGGAACCTGCAGTGCACACCCCTCTATTCCGTGCCCAATAATCACTTCACGGTGAAATGAGAAGAATAAAATGCAAATGCTTTGAGAAACTCAATCAAGTGTATTTGATGTTACAATAGAGAACTTGCTCATAACAAAAACAGGAAGTCAAAAGAAATGGACTGGGCTGGTGGAGTGGTTCAAGTGGTACAGTGCCTGCCTAGCAAGAATGAGACCCTGAGTTCAAACCCCAGTGCCACAAAAAAAAAGTTACAAAGGAAATGGAAAAATTCAAAGATACTAAAATTAATAGAGGCAAAAACAACATAACAAAATGGAAATATCTGTAATGCATGCAATGATAAAAGGATTACTACACAGAGTATAAATGAAAACAAAAATAAGGAAAGGAAATGACCAAATGTATTTGTCAGAAGGTAAAATACCCTATGAGAAGAAAGATCCAGGCACATGGAAATGAAGAGACGAGTAAATGTCGAGTAGATCCCATTTCATACCTATGAGAAGGACAAAATTGAGCCCATGAGATAATACCAAGTGTTGATGGTCACTGCAAACCAACAGTTACACAGGAATGGAGATCAATAGCTGCCTTGCTATTTCCTGTATAATTTGAACTTGACCACAACTGACAGCATGGTCATCTTCCTCAAGAATGTACTGTGCTGTGGCACTTGGAGAAAGAAGAGATATGACAGGAGCAGTATTTAACACAAGAGTAAAAATCTTAACCCAAAAATACCAAGTACAGAACCCCAGGAATGAGAAACTGGTCCTGCCTCAGACCCTGGCACTTCTGAAACATACCTTGGCAAAGAAAACACCCATCAGCCTTTGCAATTCCATTAAGACTCACTTGCTCAAAGTTCAAAGGAAGCAAAATTAAAAGAGCACTGCTTAGTAAAAAGTAACAGATTGTAAACACAGGAAAATTCACCAAAGAATCAGAGCACAGGGGCAAGACTGGCATGAAACATGCAGGAGACCGCCTGGGGACACTACTGCCTGCAAGGCCAGTTATAAATCTTGATGTGGACTTCAAGGGAGTTTATATTGCTACTAAAACTAAATGTTATCAGAAATGTGTAACTCAACACTTCTTCAAATATATTTCATCATAAAAATGCAAAGACTTAAGACTGAAAAGCACATCCTAATTTGTGTGTGTTCATTTGTCCTGTAATATGACAATCTGAATTGGAATACACAGATCTGGTAGCTAAAATTGAGCAGCACAGGTCACAACAATAGCTCCCCAGCAAGGAACAGGTGAGGTGTGTGACTGCCATCCAAGAGCCAGGCAGGTGAGCGGGTCAGAGCAGAGGAGACAGACACAAGGAAAGGTGTTCAAAGACTAGGCATTCTGCTTAAGGTGCCACACCTGCAGGTGTGGTCCTGATGTCCACTCTCATGACAATGTGGCACACAGAGGACAGGCGAGGCTTACCACTCACAGAACTACGGCCCCAAGGACAGTGAGCAGGCTTCTTACACAGGTATGCAGTGTCTTGAGAGCAAGTAGGGCAGCCAGGCCTGGAGCTTTGCTGAGGTTAACAGGGAAACTACAGGGAACACTCACTCCCACATGCAGAGGTGGGTGGGTGACCTCAATCTCTTGCACCTTCAAGGAGGGGCCACCTTGGATTTTGATCCCCTTATCCTGATAGGAGGCACAAAGAGAAGGGGTGTTCAGAGTTAAATGCTGCCAGCAAACATAAGGATTGAACTCAGAAACTTCCACACTCCAGCCCAGCATGGAAGGACATACAGGGGACATTCCCAGCCATACAAGGAAACATCAAAGAAATTTTAAATCAGGAACTCTTCTAGACTCATCAGAGAACTAAGGTCATGACACTACCCACTGTCCCCAAATGGAAGAGACAGACAGACAGACAACCATACCTTAATGTAACAGAAAATAATGAGCAGAGTCAGGGTCAGGAACCCTCAAGTGTCTCTGATGAAGTGCTGAAGTTAAAGAAAAGTTTACATGGGAAAAGATCCACAGGGCCCAGCTGAGCAGAGGCATTTTACCTCTAGAACTCCATCAGGTTCTCACAGTGAGGATCACAAAGAATCTGCTTTCTGCTGCTGACAGGAGGCTGGGCATATTTTTAAATATGCCCAGTGAATTCTGTTTTTAAGTCCTGCCTCCAAAAGTGCAACCCACAAAGTATAACAAAGATGTTACTGGGTTCAGGGTCTGGGGGAAAGCGAAACACAGATCCTCTGCTTCTCTGACTCCTAGATTCAACTTCATAGCGGTGACAATGACAAGGACCCAGCTCAGGGATACAGGGTTCCTCAAAATGAAGCCAAACTATGGACCCAGAATGCTGCTCTCCACAACATGAGTATGGCACCCATGAAATAATACCAGATAACAAAAGGAAGAACAAAATGTCTTGACAGGTTACTGAAAAAGTCTCCAGGGTATAGTCGTGAGTAGGGTACACTGAAGAGTTAGAGAAATGGCTGGGAACACAGTCTACTGAGAAGCAGTGATGAAGAACTATGAACTCTGAGCAGACCCATAATGAACAAGATAATCAATAATCAAAAAAACCCTGTAAACAAAAGATGACGAGCTAGCTGATTCAGAGTACTGTGAAATCTCCACCACCTAACGCAGAATGAACATCAGCCTACTACTAATCTCCTCCAGAAACCATAGACAAGGGAAGACTCAGATTCACTCAAAGGCCAAATTTAAGCTGGCAGCAAAGATGGACACTGGGAAGATGTAGCCAATGTCCCTTGTGAATGCAGGTGCACAATCCACAAATAAATACCTGCACCCGGGCACAGTAATCAAAATCCAGTGGAGCGGGCAGAGAGACAGAGACATAAATGCCACAACAGACCAACACGCCCAGATTCCTAAATGTACATGGCAGAGTGATTTTGGACAGGAGGAGAAAAATCACTCAATGAGAAAAGAGCCATCTATTTTTTTAAAAATGTTCAGAAAACTGAAAAATAAATATCCACATGGAAGAGAATGAAGCCAAATCTTACCTTATTCTAAGTTAAAAAATAAAAAGGCTGCAATGTAGTCCCATCCTAGCACAAAAAGAAGAAGAGAGAAGAAGGAACAGGAGGAGGAGGAAAGTTGAGCCTACCCACACAGCTATGAAAATATAGATTACGGGAGGCTAAGGAGCAAAGTAGTTTAGAAATGATGGTGTTTGAAAGAACCCCTGCTGCTGGGCTGCAGCTCAGAGGTAGAACACTTGCCTATCATGCACAAGGACAAATAAATAGAAATAAAGTCCCTGAGACATACCGAGGAACTCAGAAAACCCTGGGTATGACAAGGAAACAACATATTTTAGAACAGAACTAAGAAGTTCTGCAGGAAGCGAAGGCCAAAGCACACTTTTAACTACCCAGGCTCAGCATTAAAGGGAGAGCAGGCAAAGCCTGGAAGATGTGAGGATTTGTCTGTTTCCTCTTGTTCTTTTAGCCCTTAACATTGAAAAAAAAAAGACCCTCTCAAAACACTTGCTAAATACAAGTGAAAGGAACTGCACTGTGAGGTGCACTGTGCACCTCATGAAAACATCACTTGGAAAATTCATGAGGCAAATAGACTACTTCTGCCATTGAGAGGAACAGTAGGGCTGGGCCAGGCTCAAGTGGTAAAGGGCTTGTCTGGCAACCACAAGGCAGTGAGTTCAAACCCCAACACTGCAAGCAAAAAAGTTTAACCCTAAAGAAAGAAAAACCTCATCTCTAGAGTAAACTCATTACAATATTCAAATGGGCACATTTTTTCTGGGGTTTGAACTCAGCATCCCACACTTGCTAGGCCAGAGCTCTCTCACTTAGGCCATGCTTGCATCCATTTTTCCTTTGGCTTATTTCCAAATAGGGTCTTCTGGTTTTGTCCTGGCAGGCCTGGACCATGAAGGTCCTATTTGCACCTCCCTTGGAGCAGGGGTGACAGATGTGCAGCACCACACTCAGCTTAATGGGTGAGACAGGGTTTGAGCTGTGCTGGTCTCAGACCTACATCTTCTGAAGTCTGTCTCCTGATACCTGGGATTGCAGACATGAGCCACAGTCATGAAAAGTGAGCTGATCCTCAAATGCCTGTTTTTCAATATTATGGGTGGGGAGAGAGGGAAGGAGAGAGAGAGCACAGGCGAGAGAAAGAGAGAAAGAGAGAGAGAGACAGAATGAATTTCATAAAATCTGAAGGGCCACATAGAAAAAATTCTCAGTGCTGGAGGACAAGCAAAGCTAAATAAATTAGGTTTCAAGTGTCAACATTCAAGTGTTGACAAGTCACACAATAAACACACATCCAGCCTGTAACCTTAGCTACTCTGAAGGCAGGAATTAGGAGGATTATGGTTTGAGGCCAGTTAGGGCACATAGTTCATAAGACCCTATTACAAAAATACCCAACACAAAACAGGACTGTCTGAGTGGCTCAAGTGGAAGAGCGCCTGCCTAGCAAGCATGAGACCCTGAATTCAAACCCCAGTATCACCAAAAACACAAAACACATCCATGAAAGGTCTGATGATAAATTCAACTATAAACAAAAATTCATACTAAATCAGAATTTACGTGTAATCAACAAACCACTATTTTTTTCCACTGTGTAAAAAATTTATGTTCCATTACCACTTGAGTACAAAAACAAGAATACTATTTTCAACATCAATAGATAAACCTGGGCTGGGAACCAGTGCAATACTCCTGTAATCCTACCTATTCAGGAGACAGAGATCAGAGGGATTCTTGGTCAAAGCCACCCTCAGGTAAATAGTTCAAGAGACCAGATCCTGAAAACTCCCATCACAAAAAAAAAAAACAGGGCTGGTGGAGTGACTGAAGCAGTAAGAGTGCCTGCCTACCAAGCATGTTCAAATCCAGTGGTGACAAAACAAAAACACAAAGAAACGTGGCACCAAGTGTGGTGGTGCAGAGTTGCAATTCCAGCTACTTAGGAAGCAGAGGCAGAGGATCATGAGTTTGAAGCCCACCTTGGCATATGTACAGCATTGCCTAACATGCACAAGTCCATGTGCTAAATAATTAACACCAAAAAAACATAATTATTATTTTTCTTTGTCAGTCCTCATCGTCCTGTCCACATAGGATCCAAGCCAGAACATCGCCATGTTGTGCTCAAATCTTGAAATAAAATTCTGGTTTTGAAAGCAGGTAAGGTATGGAAATAAGATTTTACAGAGGGGGGCCGGGGTGTGGCTCAAAGGGTAGAGCACCTGACTAGGAAACGCATGGCCTTGAGTTCAAATCCCAGTACCACCAGAGACAGAGAGAGAAAAGGAAGGAGGAATTGGGAAAGGAGGGAGACAGACAAGAGGGAGAGAGACAGAGGAGAGAGGGAAAAAAGAGAGAGGGAGGGAGAAAGAGAGAGAGAGAGAGAGAGAGAGAGAGAGAGAGAGACAGAGAGAGAGAAACAGAGATTCCATGCAGGAAACAAGAGGAGCTCAGGGAAGCAGCTGCTTCACCCACAGTTCACAAGGGACCCAGGCTCGCAAGGTGAACACAGTCTGACCCTAGACACCACTGTCACTGTGCAGAGACAGCCCAGGGCTTCCCTCCCAGGGAGGGAGGGAGGAAGACTGAGCAGCCAGGAAACTTCATTCTGGGGCCTCCCCACACCAAGGGCTCCCCCATCCATGTTCCCTCCTCCCAGCAGCAGCAGGCTTTGTCCTACAGGCTGGGTTCTGACCTGAGCTGCCCTGTCCTTGTCCTGCCCTCACTAATGACACCACATGTGTGCTGTTTACTGAACACCAACCAATTCTCCACCACCCACCTGGTGTCCCACAATGCAATTCTGGCTCCAGAGAGACTTAGAGCAGTCCCCACAGCTTCCTGGCTCAGTGCTACCACACTGTCCCCACTGCAGATACCAGGCCATGGCCTGTGTTTGTTGTGGCTGATCACCAGTCACCTTCCTCAAGTGATGGAGAGGTGGCACTCGGGAGTCACCTCATTAGCACAAATTCAGAAAAATGCCTAAAAGGGGTGATTGATAAACAGCCAAAGACACTCCTTGTAGCTCAGGGAATGCCAAGGGCTTAAGGATGGCTGTGCCAGAAGATCTGGGACCAGACTAGTTTTTAAAATTATACCACCTTCCATATATACCGTCAAAATCACAAATCTTTTCTCCATAAGACACAATGCATTGTTCTTTCTCTCAGACGCCCTTTTCAGACTTCCCTAATTGACACAAATTACACCCCCAACACACCACCTGCCTGAAAGGAAAAGAAAAACTGCTAAATACAGGAGCGCTGGCACCCTGGCAAATGGCTGTGATCACCGAACTCCCACCTCACAAAGCTTTCCGTTCTGGAGCAGCTGCTCTCCCCTCCCTGCCCTGTCCTGTCCACTTGGCGGGTGTCACCGTCCTCTCTCCCTCCTTACACTGATGTGCTGGCCAGACACAACAGTGAACTGTTGCTCTGAACTTTTTCTCCTCCCTCCTTGGGACGCCTCTTTTAACTGTCACCTAAGGACAGGTGGCCTCAGGGACATCTCCCTGTCCCAGGAGCTGAGCCGCCCCTCCACCGCCCTCCTCTCCCCTTCTTTCTCCTGCTGTTTGCTCCTCCCTAGAAAGCACAGCCTGCTCGCCTGGCCCTGGAGACCCCGCAGACTTGCACTTGGGGCTGTCCCGCCTCTGCACTAAGCTCAGGTCCCCGCCATCTGCGTTTCATTTGTAAACACTGTGTGCACACAGGCCAAGGCCGACACCAACCACGTCAGAGGGACCCGCGTCTCCCCTTCCGCTCCCCCACACGTGTCCCCGAGGACCCCTTTCCCGTGCCGGCCATGCGGGGAGTCCACAAAGCTAGGGATTCCCCGGCCCAGAACCAGGTGGCGGTGGAGACGCCGCTTCCACCATCAGGAAACTCGGGGCGCTCAGGTCTGCGCCGGGATGGGGACAGGGACCCCGCGGCCACTCGGGAGACTCCCGCCACCTCCGCCGGCACCGCGCTGTGGGGAGACGCGGGGCTGCGGGCGCGGAGGGACAGGGGGCTCCGGCGGGGACAAGGGACAGGAACTTGGGGTCCCGGCTGCGGCCCCGCCCCGCCCGGGGACCGAGGGGACGAGCGGAGCGGCGCCGGCGGCGACTCTGCCGCAGACTCCGGGGCTCACGCGGGGCCCCGTCGCTTTCAACAGCCCCTCCTCGCCCGTGTCACAAATCCGCCCCACGCTCACCATTCCTGACTGCCGGGTGTCCTGCTGTCCACTCCTGCTCCAGTGATGACAAAGCGACAGATGCTGAACCGCCTGACACCTCACAACTGCCAGGTCAGTGACACAACAATGGCGGCCCGAGAAAGGAAGCTCCTGCGTCGAGGGGCGGGCCTTTGGTAAAAATCGCTTCTGATTGGACAGCTCCTGTGGCTCTGATTGGCTGCTGCTCTAGCCATAGACCTGAGTGACAGGAGAACCGATCCATACATAGCCAAGAGGAGGGCAAATGACACGTTCATCCACAGCTGTTCCAGCACGGGGTTCAACTGGGAGCTGACCTGGTCCAGCCTGGGGAAAGTGCGTTGAATGACACCTGGCTCCTGGCTCCTGAGAGCGGCCACCTGCTTCTTCCTGAACTCACTGGGCTCTTCCCGCTTTCTCCTCGTGGACGTGGGTTTACAAGTGGGAATTCCAGACTCTGACCCATGGGGACGTCCTGACAACAGCAGAAAGGTGGCCTAGGCCAAAAGACATCACACTGGAACAGGAGGAAGGGCAGACACGCAACTGATGAATTGGACCTGAGGCCAAGGCTTTCTCAACACCTTTTCTAATGCTCTACCTCTTCTCAACCAAGAAAGAAAAACATACTAACCACGGACTACAGTTACCCAGTGCATGGAGAAACGGGAGTTAAATGATGGCAGCAATATTCTACAAAGGAATCAAGAGGAAGAAAAGCAAACCTTTGAACTGGCTCAGACAGGCAGCCTCTATATCCAAGGACACAATGGAAGTCAATCAAATGACTCAAGTTGTCCAGCAGATGCCTGCAGGCTTGAAACACTGAGTTCAATCCCCAGTACAACAAAAGTATAATTAAATAAAATTTAAAATGTGTGTACATATGCATATACATGCATTTATACACACTAACACTGAGGGAGCTGGGATGACTGAAATGCAGCCTCAGAGTGCCTCCCACCCTGGAATGAGGCAGGGACACCTAAGGATATCACTCTGAGAGTCACCATGCTTTGCTGTGTCACTGCCTTCCAGTGTGGAGACATCTATTCCCTTCAGCATCTTCTCACCAGAGGGCATCCTCACCTGGAGCACTTTTGCTTTTGATCTAAGTCAACTGCCAAATTCCTAAATCCTTTCTCCAGAGCACTACGTGAGTGACCCTTTCTTTAAGGCTGACCGTCATAGATTTTTCCTTAACATATTCAAGGCAGATTAACCTCAGCAACTCTACCAGGGAAAACCCAAAATCCTTCCCAGAAAACAGCTCCATGGCAACAAGTCACCATCACGAAGTCCAGAAACTCCAACAGCATCTGCTCTGGGTTCTCTTGCTCTCCACAGCTCTGCAGCTTCTCACTGTCACATCCTCTGTCCTTCTGAATACCTGCAGGCCACATGCAGGGGAAGCAGTTGACCAGGACACACTGAGGGAACTTTGTTCTCCTGCTTCACACCAACATGGATGAATGAAATGAGACAAGGAAGCTGAATCCAATCCTTTGAATATGAAGTAAGCACAATTCTCCCTTCCTTCAGGGTTGGTGAACACATACAGGTGCTGGACAGTTGGGGTCTCCAGGTGGGACCTGCGGGGGCCATGCATCCCCTTCCTGTACCTTGTACTATGCACCTGTTCCATGTGGCTGTGGCTGGGGTATATGTTTTTTTCTTTATCAAACAGTGATCACAGTAAGCATTTTCCAGAGTTCCATTCTTAGTTTAATAAATTAACAATCAGGAATGTGTAAGACTGTGAAAGAATTGTGCAGAAATGTGTGCACTCTCATACACACTTCCTTGACTGTTGTCTGATGCTGGTGTCATCCTGGGGGTGAGCCCAAAACCTTTAGAATGAGAAACTATCTCCAGCTAGTATCAGAATTCAGTGGAAATGTTGGAAACAGTCCACTGTGGATAGCTGTGAGTGTCACTGTGGAAACAATCCACATGCTTAGTGTGAGAAGTGGCCTGGATAAACAGCTCACTTTTACACTCTTCTGTGCAATATGAAAAAATATCTGTCCAGTCACTGGAGTCAGTCTTAAATCTGACTACTCACCCCATTCTGGAAACCAACACCTACCACAGAACATGCTGGGCCTCCCCAAAACCTCTATAATATATCCTCATTCCAGTAGCCAGGGAGAACTCTGTACACACAGCAACATGGCTGCATACTCATGCTTAAAATCAATCCATCACTTTGGAAAATTGGAAGTATGTCCTCTAAGTTGGTGGAGGCCTCCTCTATATCCCTACTGTTACACTGCAATGTGAGGACCTATGAAGATTATATACCAGATACTTATGTGAGCCCCAAATAGGAAATAAGTCAAAGATCCATGATTGTGACCACGTGGTGAAGTACTATTCAATTTCTTGTGGCAAGCATTCAAAAATATTTAGCATTTCTCACTGCCCTAGGAATAACCTGTTCAAGTGCCCTTGATGGTCATTCATGACCTTGCCTTCCCACCTGCCTGCCTTCATGTCCCCAAACTCCCTCCAGCACTTCCCAATGGCCACACTCAGTGGACACACCACTGTCTCTGAACACAGTGGGCCTCTGTGTCCTGATTCCTTGCACTGCCACTCCCCAATACCTGGAAACCTCTCATCAACTTGCACTTCCCAACCAAATCCTGGTGGCACATTGTTTAGGTCTCACTGTAGACATCACTGCCTCCAAATGTGTTGTCTAAGCCCCTGACTCAGTCTTTCAATGACACTGGGGCTTCGATTATAACAGCTTTGACCACTCTAACAGCCTCCCAGCATGCACCATGACAAGCTCAGGTGATAGGACACTTTGTTTGTCATCATTGTCACTCCCAGCAGATGCATTTGGAGTTTCTGGTCTTTGTGATGGTAATTGGTTGTCACGCACTTGTTTTGTGGATAGAGTTTTGGTTTTTTCCCTTGGTAGAGTTGCTGAGGTCAGTTTAACTTGAAGATGTTATGGAAATCTATGAAGGTCAGCCATAGAGAAAGGGTCATTTATGTAGTGCCCTGGAGAAAGGGTTTAGGAATTTGACAGCTTTCTTGGATCACAACCAGAGGATTCCCTCAGGTCAGTGTTAAGATGCTGAAGGACAGAAATGTTTCCACAGTGGAAGGAGGGCATTCAAAAAGGCATGGTGACTCCAGAGGGATTTCCTTAGGTGTGCCTGCCTCGACCCAGGGTTGGATCCACTGTGAGGCTGCATTTCACAATCAACCTAGTTCCCACAATGGAAGTGTATACGTACTTATGCATATGTTGGGAACCAAAAGCCACAGTCTGACAAGGTCGCTGCGGCTTAGCAGCATTCCGACAAGGTCGGAATCTGCAGGTGCACCATGCCCCTGTCACGGTGGGAAGGAGCGCTAAATGGTTTCCCTTGACTAAAAAGAAATTTATACTTAGTCAAGGACACTGGCAGTAAGAATGCAGGGTGGAGATCACAGAAAGATTGTAACTAGGTCAGAGTGTTTTGATGTTTAAGTCTCTTCCTCTTTTGTATAAAGCTTGTTGAGAAAAATAAAACTTTGCCAGTTGGTCATCAGCCTACTGGCCCTCTCGATATGTGTTTTGTCATTCCCTTCCTGAGTGAGTGAGTCCCTTTGTGTGTCCTGTCTTGTTCATTCCTGCCCTGAGCACTTTCAGGTCAAGGAACTCTGCGATCCTGGTAAGTTGGGCCCCAAACAGGGACCCAAACAGAGGCTTAAGGCAAGGAAGGGTCTGGAGGCATGCATGAACATTATTTAATTTTCATTTTCAAAATATGGAGCAACATCGAGAGAGAAATGGGCCAACAAGAAAGTAAGGACAGGATTCTCTTTACAGAAATTTTATGTTCAGTGTTGTGTAGTACAGGTTGTAAGATGTCTAAAAGTCAATTAGAGAGGTTTTTGTCTTATGTTCAAAATGTGTGTCCTTGGTTTCCTGATGAGGGAACTGTTAACTTGAAAACATGGGAGAGGGTGGGGCAGCGGATAAAAGACCATTACAGTGTGAGAGACCTACTCGAGTCCCTCTAGATGCCTTCTCTTTATGGAACCTGATTAGAGATTATCTTGTCCCCCTGCCTGAGGTCACCACTATTCCGCTGCTGAGAGGCGACCGAGAGGAGATTCCAAGGAGAGAAATTGAGATACGAACTTCCCTCTTTATCTCTCTTGCGGACGTAAATTTGCCACCTCCCGAGGAGCTCCTTGGTTGTCCTCTGGAGGATATCTTGATCCCAACTCTGCTATCTTGTCCCCGGAGGAGGAGGCCGAATTGGAAGAGGAGGCTCGGCGGTGTCAAGAGTCTCCCACTCTAATGCACCTTCTTAAGCAGTTATCTGTCTCCAAAGCCCCAAAAGCAGTTTCTTTTAAGCCCCCTCCTAATGGGCCTATGATAAGTGGCCGCGAGACTTTTGATCTTTCCCATTTACAAAAGGCTATGTGGGAGGCGAGGCACCAGGGAGGAGATATGAGAAGATTTCAGTGTTTCCCTATTCGGTTACGGGGGAATCCGAGAGTCTATGAGGCTTTGCCCTTTAAAATTTGAAAGGAACTGAAAGTGGCAGTGGTGCGGTGTGGACCTAATGCTCCTTCCACTCGAGATAGTGGAAACATTGGTGAGCGAGCCTTTGCCTCCCACGGATTGGAAGGCCATAGCCCAGGCTTGTCTTCCGGGAGCTGATTACCTGCTATGGAGATCTGAGTTTCAAGACAGATGTTTTGATCAAGCTGATAGCAGTCGGGCCACCCAGATCCCCTTTGCTGCCGATCAACTGGCAGGGGAAGGCCAATGGGGAAGTGTGCAGCAGCGACCAGATTCCCTGAGGAATACCATGGGCACGTAAACACTTTGGCTGAGCAAGCCTGGAGGCGACTTCCTTCTTCAGGCTTAGAGCTGGAGGAGCTAAGTAGAATCGGGCAAGGGCCAGATGAACCCTGTCAGGATTTCATTTCCCGTTTGTGGCAAGCTGTAGAAAGGTTGGTGGTAGAGGGAGAAGCAGGGATGATCTTAGTAAAGCAACTGGCTTTTGAGAATGCTAATGCCGCTTGTTAAACGGCCGTTCGGCCCTATAGAAAAAAGGGAATTTGGCAGATTATATTAGATTGTGCGC